TGATTTTTGAAAAACTGTTTTTCATGTGATTTTGATGTGAGGGAAATCTCTGAAACCTCTTGGCCGATTTTACGGTAAATTTTTACTTTACCGGAACACACTTGTTCCCTGCACACAGAAGTGTGAACACACTTGTTCCCCTGCACACAGAAGTGTGAACACACTTGTTCCCCTGCACACAGAAGTGTGAACACACTTGTTCCCTGCACACAGAAGTGTGAACACACTTGTTCCCTGCACACAGAAGTGTGAACACACTTGTTCCCTGCACACAGAAGTGTGAACACACTTGTTCCCTGCACACAGAAGTGTGAACACACTTGTTCCCCTGCACACAGAAGTGTGAACACACTTGTTCCCCTGCACACAGAAGTGTGAACACACTTGTTCCCTGCACACAGAAGTGTGAACACACTTGTTCCCTGCACACAGAAGTGTGAACACACTTGTTCCCTGCACACAGAAGTGTGAACACACTTGTTCCCTGCACACAGAAGTGTGAACACACTTGTTCCCCTGCACACAGAAGTGTGAACACACTTGTTCCCTGCACACAGAAGTGTGAACACACTTGTTCCCTGCACACAGAAGTGTGAACACACTTGTTCCCTGCACACAGAAGTGTGAACACACTTGTTCCCTGCACACAGTAGTGTGAACACACTTGTTCCCCTGCACACAGAAGTGTGAACACACTTGTTCCCTGCACACAGAAGTGTGAACACACTTGTTCCCTGCACACAGAAGTGTGAACACACTTGTTCCCTGCACACAGAAGTGTGAACACACCTGTTCCCTGCACACAGAAGTGTGAACACACTTGTTCCCTGCACACAGAAGTGTGAACACACTTGTTCCCTGCACACAGAAGTGTGAACACACTTGTTCCCTGCACACAGAAGTGTGAACACACTTGTTCCCTGCACACAGAAGTGTGAACACACTTGTTCCCTGCACACAGAAGTGTGAACACACTTGTTCCCTGCACATAGAAGTGTGAACACAATTGTTCCCCTGCACATAGAAGTGTGAACACACTTGTTCCCTGCACATAGAAGTGTGAACACACTTGTTCCCTGCACATAGAAGTGTGAACACACTTGTTCCCTGCACATTTAAGTGTGAGCACACTAGTTCCCTGCACATTTAAGTGTGAGCACACTAGTTCCCTGCACATTTAAGTGTGAGCACACTAGTTCCCTGCACATTTAAGTGTGAGCACACTAGTTCCCTGCACATTTAAGTGTGAGCACACTAGTTCCCTGCACATTTAAGTGTGAGCACACTAGTTCCCTGCACATTTAAGTGTGAGCACACTAGTTCCCTGCACATTTAAGTGTGAGCACACTAGTTCCCTGCACATTTAAGTGTGAGCACACTAGTTCCCTGCACATTTAAGTGTGAGCACACTTGTTCCCTGCACATTTAAGTGTGAGCACACTTGTTCCCTGCACATTTAAGTGTGAGCACACTAGTTCCCTGCACATTTAAGTGTGAGCACACTAGTTACCTGCACATTTAAGTGTGAGCACACTTGTTCCCTGCACATTTAAGTGTGAGCACACTAGTTACCTGCACATTTAAGTGTGAGCACACTAGTTCCCTGCACATTTAAGTGTGAGCAAACTTGTTCCCTGCACATTTAAGTGTGAGCACACTAGTTCCCTGCACATTTAAGTGTGAGCACACTTGTTCCCTGCACATTTAAGTGTGAGCACACTTGTTCCCTGCACATTTAAGTGTGAGCACACTAGTTCCCTGCACATTTAAGTGTGAGCACACTTGTTCCCTGCACATTTAAGTGTGAGCACACTTGTTCCCTGCACATTTAAGTGTGAGCACACTAGTTCCCTGCACATTTAAGTGTGAGCACACTAGTTCCCTGCACATTTAAGTGTGAGCAAACTTGTTCCCTGCACATTTAAGTGTGAGCACACTAGTTCCCTGCACATTTAAGTGTGAGCACACTTGTTCCCTGCACATTTAAGTGTGAGCACACTAGTTCCCTGCACATTTAAGTGTGAGCACACTTGTTCCCTGCACATTTAAGTGTGAGCAAACTAGTTCCCTGCACATTTAAGTGTGAGCACACTAGTTCCCTGCACATTTAAGTGTGAGCACACTTGTTCCCTGCACATTTAAGTGTGAGCACACTAGTTCCCTGCACATTTAAGTGTGAGCACACTAGTTCCCTGCACATTTAAGTGTGAGCACACTTGTTCCCTGCACATTTAAGTGTGAGCACACTAGTTCCCTGCACATTTAAGTGTGAGCACACTAGTTCCCTGCACATTTAAGTGTGAGCACACTAGTTCCCTGCACATTTAAGTGTGAGCACACTAGTTCCCTGCACATTTAAGTGTGAGCACACTAGTTCCCTGCACATTTAAGTGTGAGCACACTTGTTCCCTGCACATTTAAGTGTGAGCACACTTGTTCCCTGCACATTTAAGTGTGAGCACACTTGTTCCCTGCACATTTAAGTGTGAGCACACTTGTTCCCTGCACATTTAAGTGTGAGCACACTTGTTCCCTGCACATTTAAGTGTGAGCACACTTGTTCCCTGCACTTGGAGGTGTAAACACACTTGTTCCCTGCACATTTAAGTGTGAGCACACTTGTTCCCTGCACATTTAAGTGTGAGCACACTTGTTCCCTGCACATTTAAGTGTGAGCACACTTGTTCCCTGCACTTGGAGGTGTAAACACACTTGTTCCCTGCACTTACAGGTGTGAACAAACTTGTTCCCTGCACATAGAGGTGTGAGCACACTTGCCTCTACCGCCGAGGTTCTCCTCACAACTTAACAGGTGAAGTGCGACTGTGACATGTTCACTCATCACCCTTAAGTGAGGCATCTCTTACAGGACTCAAGTGTCCCTTATACCCGAACGCAGAGATAGTCTGTGTTAGAGGAGCTGTGATATCTTGATGCGGTATACTTTGTTGGGCTTCGTTATAACTTGCTGTGGTCTGCTGTGTTGGGTTTCGTTATAACTTGCTGTGGTCTGCTGTGTTGGGCTTCGTTATAACTTGCTGTGGTCTGCTGTGTTGGGCTTCGTTATAACTTGTTGTGGTCTGCTGTGTTGGGCTTCGTTATAATTGTTGTGGTCTGCTGTGTTGGGCTTCGTTATAACTTGCTGTGGTCTGCTGTGTTGGGCTTCGTTATAACTTGCTGTGGTCTGCTGTGTTGGGCTTCGTTATAACTTGCTGTAGTCTACTGTGTTGGGCTTCGTTATAATTGCTGTGGTCTGCTGTGTTGGGCTTCGTTATAACTTGCTGTAGTCTACTGTGTTGGGCTTCGTTATAATTGCTGTGGTGTGCTGTGTTGGGCTTCGTTATAACTTGCTGTGGTCTGCTGTGCTGGGCTTCGTTATAACTTACTGTGGTCTGCTGTGTTGGGCTTCGCTATAACTTATTGTTGTCTGCTGCGATGGGCTTGATGACACATGAGACCAAGCCACTCAACCACACATGAGCCCATGCCAATCAGCCACACATGAGACCAAGCCACTCAGCCACACATGAGCCCATGCCAATCAGCCACACATGAGCCCAAGCCACTCAGCCACACATGAGCCCAAGCCACTCAGCCACACATGAGCCCAAGCCACTCAGCCACACATGAGCCCATGCCACTCAGCCACACATGAGCCCATGCCACTCAGCCACACATGAGCCCATGCCACTCAGCCACACATGAGCCCAAGCCACTCAGCCACACATGAGCCCAAGCCACTCAGCCACACATGAGCCCATGCCACTCAGCCACACATGAGCCCAAGCCACTCAGCCACACATGAGACCAAGCCACTCAGCCACACATGAGCCCAAGCCACTCAGCCACACATGAGCCCATGCCACTCAGCCACACATGAGCCCATGGCACTTAGCCACACATGAGCCCAAGCCACTCAGCCACACATGAGCCCATGCCACTCAGCCACACATGAGCCCAAGCCACTCAGCCACACATGAGACCAAGCCACTCAGCCACACATGAGCCCAAGCCACTCAGCCACACATGAGCCCATGCCACTCAGCCACACATGAGCCCATGCCAATCAGCCACACATGAGCCCATGCCACTCAGCCACACATGAGCCCATGCCACTCAGCCACACATGAGCCCATGCCACTCAGCTACACATGAACCCAAGCCACTCAGCCACACATGAACCCAAGCCACTCAGCCACACATGAGCCCATGCCACTCAGCCACACATGAGCCCAAGCCACTCAGCCACACATGAGCCCATGCCACTCAGCCACACATGAGCCCATGCCACTCAGCCACACATGAGCCCATGCCACTCAGCCACACATGAGCCCATGCCACTCAGCCACACATGAGCCCATGCCACTCAGCCACACATGAGCCCATGCCACTCAGCCACACATGAGCCCATGCCACTCAGCCACACATGAGCCCATGCCACTCAGCCACACATGAGCCCAAGCCACTCAGCCACACATGAGCCCATGCCACTCAGCCACACATGAGCCCATGCCACTCAGCCACACATGAGCCCATGCCACTCAGCCACACATGAGCCCATGCCACTCAGCCACACATGAGCCCATGCCACTCAGCCACACATGAGCCCATGCCACTCAGCCACACATGAGCCCAAGCCACTCAGCCTCACATGAGCCCATGCCAATCAGCTCGCTCCTTGCGTTGATGTGTGCCAAGAGTGGATAAACTTCCTTATTCTTACGTTTTCATTCAAACGTTTATATTCTTATATACACATTTTGGTAGAACAATATTAAATGAATGATACAAAATGTATATTAAATCCAGTAATATTTATTCATGCAAGCAGTTTTTAAACTGATAATTTGTATTAGTTAAGTAATCTCAAAGACACAAATACATGACAGGAGTAAACCAACAAAATTTGAGATATTTTAATTAGATTTACACCTCACAAAATTAGAATTATTGTATTTATCTTTTTATGACAAAAATACAATGCTACATATATCAAGATATTAAAGACGTAATTGACTGCTAGTAGTGGGCGTGCAGGCTTCATATTGACTGCTAGTAGTGGGCGTGCAGGCTTCATATTGACTGCTAGTAGTGGGCGTGCATACTTCATATTGACTGCTAGTAGTGGGCGTGCATGCTTCATATTGACTGCTAGTAGTGGGCGTGCATGCTTCATATTGACTGCTAGTAGTGGGCGTGCAGGCTTCATATTGACTGCTAGTAGTGGGCGTGCATGCTTCATATTGACTGCTAGTAGTGGGCGTGCAGGCTTCATATTGACTGCTAGTAGTGGGCGTGCAGGCTTCATATTGACTGCTAGTAGTGGGCGTGCAGGCTTCATATTGACTGCTAGTAGTGGGCGTGCAGGCTTCATATTGACTGCTAGTAGTGGGCGTGCAGGCTTCATATTGACTGCTAGTAGTGGGCGTGCATACTTCATATTGACTGCTAGTAGTGGGCGTGCATGCTTCATATTGACTGCTAGTAGTGGGCGTGCATGCTTCATATTGACTGCTAGTAGTGGGCGTGCAGGCTTCATATTGACTGCTAGTAGTGGGCGTGCATGCTTCATATTGACTGCTAGTAGTGGGCGTGCAGGCTTCATATTGACTGCTAGTAGTGGGCGTGCAGGCTTCATATTGACTGCTAGTAGTGGGCGTGCAGGCTTCATATTGACTGCTAGTAGTGGGCGTGCAGGCTTCATATTGACTGCTAGTAGTGGGCGTGCAGGCTTCATATTGACTGCTAGTAGTGGGCGTGCAGGCTTCATATTGACTGCTAGTAGTGGGCGTGCAGGCTTCATATTGACTGCTAGTAGTGGGCGTGCATGCTTCATATTGACTGCTAGTAGTGGGCGTGCAGGCTTCATATTGACTGCTAGTAGTGGGCGTGCATGCTTCATATTGACTGCTAGTAGTGGGCGTGCAGGCTTCATATTGACTGCTAGTAGTGGGCGTACATGCTTCATATTGACTGCTAGTAGTGGGCGTGCAGGCTTCATATTGACTGCTAGTAGTGGGCGTGCAGGCTTCATATTGACTGCTAGTAGTGGGCGTGCAGGCTTCATATTGACTGCTAGTAGTGGGCGTGCAGGCTTCATATTGACTGCTAGTAGTGGGCGTGCAGGCTTCATATTGACAGCCAGTAGTGGTGGTGTGGGTCTCCATATTAACAGCTAGTAGTGGTGGTGTGGGTCTCCATATTGACAGCCAGTAGTGGTGGTGTGGGTCTCCATATTAACAGCTGGTAGTGGTGGTGTGGGTCTCCATATTGACTGCTGGTAGTGGTGGTGTGGGTCTCCATATTGACTGCTGGTAGTGGTGGTGTGGGTCTCCATATTGACTGCTAGTAGTGGTGGTGTGGGTCTCCATATTGACTGCTGGTAGTGGTGGTGTGGGTCTCCATATTGACTGCTGGTAGTGGTGGTGTGGGTCTCCATATTGACTGCTGGTAGTGGTGGTGTGGGTCTCCATATTAACAGCTAGTAGTGGTGGTGTGGGTCTCCATATTGACTGCTGGTAGTGGTGGTGTGGGTCTCCATATTGACTGCTGGTAGTGGTGGTGTGGGTCTCCATATTGACAGTAAGGTGTTTTACAACCTGTCTGAAATGTTGAGGGAGCTGCCCGAGGCTTGTACCTCACATGCTTCATGGCAGTTCAGTGATTCAGAACAGTAAGTTGTGTCGAAAATTGTGATGAGTCGCACACGAGTTTTCCTTAGTTCAGGTTATTTTTCTTTCGGGAACTTGTTTCCACAACTCAAATTTTGTAGACTTGAAATTTATGGATCATCTTTAGATCCGAGTCCTCCTGTAGTTCCTCTTGTTCTATTTCGTCAGCAGATGATTTCGTAAGCAGAGGGTCGGCAATTGGACAGCCATCATTAATCACATCAACCATGAAGGGATTTACAAGAATGGCTCATCAGGGCTTCAACTTTCAAAATTTCGTAGCCAGGTCATCAAACCTGGCTAGGCTATTATAAAGCGTTTTATATATTGTTTATTTAGTATATATTGTATTATATATTGTTATTTAGCTGAATTTGTAATTTGTATTTTTTTCAAAATTAGGAAATGTATTTACTCTCTTACTGAGACCTGAGAAGTGTCTGATGTTTCTTGACAACATTTTCTGAATTTTGTTTATTTTATTCTGAACGTCGACAATTGTTTAAGATCAGTCATGATCTTATCTGTCCCCTGGAGCGGCAAGTTGAGAGTCTGTAGATGATTCATGACATCAGTAAGGAACATCAGATCTTGCATCTATTCATCGTTTTCCAGTTGAGGATTGCATCTTTTATTTTCTTTAAGAAGCGCAATAATAGTCTCCAACAGATCCACGAACCTACTCAAGACGTTGCTGGCTGACCGCCGCCTCACAATGGAGTAGAAAGAGTTTATCCACACGCTCCAAGTCTTCAATAACATTTCTGAACCGTCGGTGGGTCTTCCCATTTGTGCGTACGAAATTGACAATTTCAAGGACAGCTTTCATAACATCTTCCTTCTTGAAGAGTATCTGGCTGCCAGGTGTTCAAGATGAATAGTGCAATGTTCGGGGAGAAGCTCAGGTAAGCTGGGATCACTTTTCATAAGTGCAATTAATCCTACATTTTCCCCACCATTACAGATGCTCCATCTGTTACAACGCTGACGAGTTTATTCAGTGGAACATCAGCATTTCTTAAGGTTCTGTCAAGCGCATTTTTAATGTCTCTACCACGAGTTGTTTCTTTTAATGCCACTAATTGCAACATCTCTTCTTTCACATCAGAGGAAACATAACGTACACAAATTGGCAGTTGTGGGCTGTCCTGTTGACTCGTCAAAGAGCTAACTAAATACAAGAGATTTTTTTAATCATTTTGCATTTTGTGTGCAACCTGAGCAGGGATCTGAGAGATACGCCACTCTGCAGTGAGGCGTGAAGCTGGTGTTGGGGATTCGTGTTCATATAATCGTCATCAGAATATGGGTGTTTATCACGAACAATATTTCATGATAGAACACAACTGGCTTCAGTCGTTGTATCGGCTGCCTTACTGAACACTGTCAACAGTGCCTGATGACTGTTTATTGATGATCTGAACTCATTTAACGTATTTTTCCTCAAGTCTGATTAAGGTGGGTAATAATACGAAACATTTTAGTGATTCGTTTCATAGTGGCGTTTCAAGTTACTGGCTTTGTAAATGAGTGGCACTTGGCAGATAAGGGCTAAAGTTTACCTCCTTTAACTGTGGCTGGAAACTCTTCCTCCCACACTAGCTGATAAATTAGTTTCCTTCTTTGTATTTTCCTTTCTGACAATTTGTTGAAGGCATCTTCCTTTACAAAAGTTTTCACACACTTTAAATAAGATCAATATATGCAGTGTACCAGCGAGGTCTGCACAGTTCCACGTATGCACTTACACTGACCTCCCTTCCCTAGGTGTCGCAACTCTTCATACAGCCGCACGTTTCTTGTTCTAGATTCGTGTCGGAATTTCTTTCTAGAATATTCAAATTTCTAGAAATTTTCACGGGCCTCGGTTTGGCTGTCTATGTATGTACAACGCTGTACGTAGCCGCTAAAGCGTTGTACAATGCCGCCAGAACGCTGTACAATATCGCCTGTGCTGTACAGTGTCTCCACAGGTTATCTTGAGATGATTTCGGGGCTTAGTGTCCCCGCGGCCCGGTCCTCGACCAGGCCTCCTTTTTGTTACACCCCCCCCCCCCAGGAAACAGCCCGCAGCAGCTGTCTAACTCCCGGGTAGCTATTTACTGTTTGCTAGGTAACAGAGGCATCAGTATGAAAGAAACATTTTGCCCATTTGTCTCTGCCTCCACCGGGGATCGAACCCGAGACCTCTGGGGCCAGATTCACGAAGGTACTTACGAATGTTTTTCTTCTTAGCACCTTCGTGGCGGCTACGTCGGTATTCAGTTAGCTACACTAAGAAGAAAAACCTTTGTAAGTTTGGTCCGCCATCTAAGTGTGCTGTCGACCACTCGTAGCTTTACGTAAACTGGATATAACTAATTTATTTATTTATTTATTTTTTATTTTTTTGAGATATATACAAGAGTTGTTACATTCTTGTACAGCCACTAGTACGCATAGCGTTTCGGGCAGGTCCCTGGAATACGATCCCCTGCCGCGAAGAATCGTTTTTTCATCCAAGTACACATTTTACTGTTGCGTTAAACAGAGGCTACAGTTAAGGAATTGCGCCCAGTAAATCCTCCCCGGCCAGGATACGAACCCATGACATAGCGCTCGCGGAACGCCAGGCGAGTGTCTTACCACTACACCACGGAGACTGACTGTTTTCTCTACTACATAACAATGGGATCGATTTTAAGATTTTGGAACATAAACAAAAGATTATAGCTGGTGAATCTCGTAAAGAGGAGTCCTTCGTGTTAGTTATATATGCATTCTCTGCTTGAAACTTAAAGTAAATATGTCTTTTATGATATTATAATTAGTTTTATAATAGCAAGATATTATACCAATAGTTATTAAGTAAATGAACACTGGTGAACATGAAATATGAGAGAAGGTGATGAGCCCTGCCTGATGGGATCATTTACTATCACTAAATGCCCCTGTTCACCTAGTAGTAAGGGTGTATCTTAGCTATGCATACCCATTTCTAATTTATTTAGTTTGGTTTTATTTTAAAATTAAATCTGGGTGAGACTTAAAATAAAAATATGCTGCACAAATGATGTTAGGTAAGGAAAAGGGTAAAAATGTCAAAAACTTTATTCATTGCATACTTAAAGCTATAATTATGACTATATGGACTATTAAAAAAGAGAGAGGGAAGTAGGGGTCCAAGACCTCTTCCTGTTACTCAATTTGGCTGTGTGTAACCAAACTAGAAGTGCTCTACAAATCAAGGGACCCAGAATGTGGAATGACCTCCCGAATCATGCCAAAGGCTGTACCTCTCTCAACCAGTTTAAGAGTTAAACCAAGTACTACCTAATTAACTCCATGTAACCTACCTTACCCCCTAAATGTCAACCCATGTCTTGCTATTTTTTAAACAATGCTGTTTGTTCACTAACGTGTACAATTGCTGATTTCTGATATGTTACCCCTCGTTTTTTTTTTTTATTCCTTCTTTCAACACAATTTATACCTAATGCCGATTAGAATTAAGTTTAAGTTAAAGTGCTTTTCCCCCACACCTTATCCGAAATGCTATGAGTATTAGTGGCTTTAGGTATTGTATGTACAGTACTAGCTCTGTCTATAAACCCAACATTATGTTTGCAAATCAACTGTATGTTATTTTCCTGAATAAAATTTATTTATTATTATTTATTTATTAATCAGTAAGTATTAAAAGAAGGCACCAAGCTGGGAAGGCTATGTAGCACCATTGTGTGTAACAATAAACTATTTTTTTTTAACAAATAATGCACCTCTTTGGTAAAACAAATCTTGTCAGCTCTAAAAATATTGATGCTGTTATTTATATAAAAAATATAATGAAAAGATATGACTGGTTTATTTTTATCCTATCTTTTTGTACTGTACAGTATATCCAAGGAAGTGAAGAATTGAGACATATGCACAATTTAATGAATGATTTAAAAATGATTAGCATGGATTAGCAGTTCAAAAGAAATATGACTATTACATATCAACATGAGATCTTAATGATCCATGGTTAACATGATTTAATAAGGATAATGCAGTACTTGTTATAATACAAACTATAATTTAAAATCTTTATTACTGATGTACTATTTTATTATTAAGAAGCTTAGGTATACACAGCAATGTGCTGCTACCCTACTCTATATGGAATATTACACAGTGTAGATAAAAAACTAGCTATAAGTTTATCTAATACTCCCATCTCACAGGATAGTTAGACATACATGGAATCAAGGTAGAAAATACCAGCCTCAATACAAAAAACAAGTCAACTCTGACTAAACAACACTTCACGATTTTCACAAGAGGTAAGCACTAAATCATGTAAACATTATATTATAATTACCCTTACCAGTTTCTACAAGACTCCTCTCAAACAATATATTTTTTAACATGTTTAGGTATACGCAGCAATGTGCTGCTTCCCTATGGACCACACAGTGTAGATCAAAAACTAGCTACAAGCTCATCCATCATCCTCACCTCACAGGATGGCCAGT